TTGCCTGTGTGGTGCCTATCACCAGCTTCTATGGATCACAGTTTACAATGTCAGTTCCTACCCTCTTCTTTGGGATTGCGTGAGATGAGAAAGGGTGTCTTTACAAGTCTGGCGTTGAACTTCAGTTGTGTTTTCTTCAGTTCCTGACTGAACTGCAGATTTTCTCCTTGGCTGAGGTCTGGTCACTTTGCTTCCCCAAATCTCTGCGAGGCAGAGTTGTTGATATATATTCTTGCTTGCTATTCAGCTCTGCCATCTCTTTAACTTACCAGTTTTCACTGCGTAGGTACAAGCTCTTCTTCTGTATTCATATAAGGTGTAGATATGAGGATCCTTGCTCTTGCCTACAATTTCTAAACATTATTCTAGCTTGATGCAAGTGAATAATCCAAATATGTTCCTGATGAAAAAAAAAAACTCAGAAACAAAAGCTCTTTATTTTCTCTAATATACAATGCAAATTATTGTTCCTGTGTAATCTACTGTACGCATTGGCTGCTCTGGAGCCATTACTATATGTAATTTGCCATGAATTTGTGTTAGTAATAATACTCATATCTACTTGCCTAGTGCTGGGCATCAGAATGAACATGAGTTCATCCCAGTTTTGGGGTGGAAAGTTTCTGTGGTTGTCAACTGACTGTAGGTTGGCAGTGCTGCTCTAGGTAAACGGGGATGGGAAGAGTCCAGACTTCAGGGCCCTGAATGCACCACCAGGCTTTGCTGGGCCTGACCCATGTTACCTGGAGCCTCCATCCACCCCTGCCCATGGGCCCAGGAGCTCCGTGCAAGCTCAGGTCTGGGCCCCCACAGCTGCCAGCTGTGATGATATCTGCAGTCCACAGGTCCCTGTCCCTTTGGGAGCAACCCGCTCTTGCTGCTCCCCGTCACAAATGTCCGAGGATTCAAAAGTTCAGCAAAAACAGCTGCAATGAGAAGGGAGGCAAAATGCAAAATCAAGAGTGACTCTATGAACTCTATGCAGACATTAATTTTGCTTCCCGTGGTTACTGGCATACATTTATCTTTCAGCTACAAATCCCCACTGTTCTGGATAAAATCCTTTAAATAGTTGAAATGCCCATGATGACTGCTTTTCCTTCCTTTCGTGGTGTACTCTGAAGTCACAATACTTCACCCATTGCCTTGCTCAGGGCCCAGCATGAGCCCTCTCTCCTCGCTGCCTAGAAGTTTCCTATTCTTCTTTTATGTCCTCAGTTTCTCCCAAACCCCATACTCTGTGAGACCAGAAATCTTGGAGCTCCGTGTTCCGTGTAAACTTCTCAGATGGAAGTGACATAACTTTTCAATCAAAATGCCTCCTGTGACACTTCAGGAGCAAGATTACAAAGCTCCAGTACCCATGAGGGAAGTGATTTATTATGGTAGATGGAAGAAGAGCAATGCGACTCCCTTTACATTCCAGAACACCCTCAGCCTACCTCCGGGACCTGATAAAATACTGTCTCTAGTTTTTAAAAGGTCATTTTGTGCTTTTTTAAAAAGGATAGAGTCCTGGCTAATGTACTCGGAAGGGGGTTATAGTGACAACCTGATGTAGGCAAAAGCACTATAAAAAATCCAAAATGAGAAGTTGTCAAAAAGCATAATGGGCATCCAGGGGTGGTGGACATGATGTGAAAATAGGACTATTACATGTTTTGGAGATTAAACGTGGTAGCCCAGCTGTGAAATATATTTGAAAGCCCCCTTCTCCACTGTGTTGCTAAGAAGGCTTTGAGAGTGTGTGAGAGAAAAATAAGGAAAGGTGTTAATTTGAAATGGGATTTATGAATAGCAATGCACATAGAGAAATCCTTGGATACCACCACCACCATCTTTAATACATCCATTAATTCTTTCTTGTGCTGCCGTTCTTTTGTTCTTGTCCCTAGAGGGGTGTCACAGAAACCCTTGGAGTGTCCAGCACTGCCCCTTTGACAACCAGAAACCTGGAAGAGGTGACTGAAATGCCCATATTTCCCTCTCAGCTGCAGTCTCAGCCAGTGTACCCATAATTATTGAATGTTGAACTCGAATCTTGGTTTTCTACTCATGCTAGATGGTGTCGTTATGACTGTTTTAACCCATTCCACTTCACCTGTATCTGTCAATCTAAGAACATGTCAAAGAGTGCTTTGTGGTTTACAATCCTAAGCAATGCGGTTTAGTCGTCCTTCAGGGACAACTTGTTTATGTCATAAGTAACAAGTTTGGGTGCAATTCATAAAAGCTTTTATGGGGCAAAACAGCATTAAACATGCAGACTGGGAGGCCTGTTGACAACAGATTTAGCTACAGAATTGTACTTAGATACTAGAAACAGGCTCATAGCAGTTGATCTGAAATAGCCAGACTTGTCTACGAGACACTTCAACACAGCTCAAAGCAAACTAAGCTTTGTAAACAGTTTAGATTAGTGTTAAAGAGTTTAAATTACTGTTGGAGCATTTCTATTGCGACTGATCTCCTTCCATTTGGAGTCACAGTAAGTCTCCTAATATAATATATACCCCCATATAATAACGAGGTAGAAAGAAGATCCTTCCAAGATTCATTCAGTGTTGATGAGACTAAGTGACCTTGGGGAACAGCTTCTTTCTATGAATATATAGGCAACCTAGAGCAACTATACTCATGATGGAGCTCTCATAGTTCCATGTTTTGAGTTAGATGGAGTGATTCCAGGTCTTAATGTCTATGTGACATTTACTGTCTAAAGGACAAGTTCTCTAAATGGCAAATGCATATTTAGCCTAGTTTCTAAAGCAAGAAAATGAGCTTAAAGACAAGCTCTTAGCTTTACATCTTTTTCCTCCTCTGTCTCTAAATTTCAAAGTAGAATTATCTTCATTTATAGCTGTTCTTTGTTTTCCTCTTTGGTGATTATTTTAAAAATATTTTTAGGACAAAAATGTCTTAGCTTGTACCTGCATCATCTCTCCCAAAATCCAAGTATTTATAGATGTCTGTGCCTGCAATGTGGACTGAGTTTTAAGTCTCTTCATTTGCTTTAGTGTATGTGGGTCACAGCAGACACTGGAGTGAATTTAGCAAGTAAGCATGTAGATAAGCTGTGGGTAGAGCTTGTGTAGTGCTATTCTTTTTCAGCTAAATCAGTTAGTCTAATATCAGCTATTCCTTCTTTTTTCTCTTGCTTTAAATGATCACCAGAGCAGCAACAGATACAGGAGGTATGCACCAAAAAGCAGAACTCTCAAGGTACCTTTGACAGTTAGTGGGGGCCTTGGGGGATTCAGCACAGAGTTTTTCTTAGGGGTCAGGACATGAACAATGGTACTGAGCCCCTTACAGAGGGATCCTTTCTTTGTTGCCCAGCCTTTAAAAGGATGATTTGGTATCAGTCTGTTCCCTGAACAGTATCTGTGCTCTGGAAACTGCTTAGCCCGGTGCAATGACTATCCTGCAAGCACAGACCTGAGCTGTGTCTCTGCCCTCACAAAACACAAATGCACGTGGTGACGGGGAGGCAGATCCTGGCCTCCCTGGGCACCAAGCAGGGGGAAAGTTTAATTGTTGGCTACCCAGGCCTGGGTATTCAGCCACGTAGGACACGTGCTCGATTTCCTTTCGTGCTGTCTGCCCCCATTGCACGTCCTCCTGCATGCCCATAACAAACCTTTTAAAGGGCAGCAGCTCTCACCCTTCCCCTCTCAGTAGAGAGGGGGAGTCCCTCTCCCTGCAGGATATCTGCCATGCAGCTGAAGGCAGCATTGGGAAGGGCAGGGGCATGCTGGGCTCTGCTGATGTAACAGGCTTGCTGCAATTTTCATTCAGATCTGGTTGGCTGCAAGCTGGCAGAGAGCCTCAGATACGCCTCCAACACAGATGAGGTCATTCCTGCCTCTTATTTATTTATTTATTTATTTATTTTCCTCTCCCCACGCTGCTCCAGAAAGGATCTGCGGTGTCTCTGCATTTAAGGTCAGTGTGCTAATGCCCGGACCACCTCACATCTCTGCGTGCAGGAACCCCCTCCTCCTTTCAGCAGCACCATCGTAGACCCTGTTTTCCCTTTAAAGAGAAAGGAGGAGCGAAAGGAAGAGGATTTCGCTGCAATGGATTTTATAATTGACTCTCACTGCCAGGGGAGTGTTTGCTGGCGAGAGCTGCCCGGGCCTCACACACGAGTAAAGTAGCTCCGGGACCGAGGAAACTCCAGACCTGCTGCTGCCAGAAGTGCGACTCCTTGCCCTGCCCCTTCGCTTTTCCCTTCCCTGCTGTCCCGCCGAGCAGTGATGTATCCTGCCCGTTCAGGACAGGCTCCCTGCCCTGCCTGGGAGGAGCTGATCCCGCAGTGAGGGCTGTCCCCGGCGGCGCGGAGCGGCGCGGAGCGGAGCGGCCGGGGGTGCCGGCCCGCCAGCACCGCCCGCGCGGCTCCCTCCGCGCCCGGCGGCCACGGGGGATCCCGGGCCCGCCAACTTCGGCACCGGCTCTGCCCGCGCGCGCCTGGCCACCATGGGGGCTGCAGCACCCGCCTCCCACCCCCGGGGCAGCCAGCCCCTTCCTCCTCCTCCTCCTCCTCCTCCTCCCAGGGCCGAGCCCCGCGCCGGAGCGCTTTCGGAGCAGCCTCTCTGTGATGCCCTGCCAGGGGCGGGGAGCCCCCCCAGGTGCGCCTGAGCCGAGCCCCAGATCCGGCGGGCCGAACCCCAGAACCGCGAGCAGCACCCGGGCCGAACCCCAGCCCCGCGGGCCGAACCCCAGATCCGCGGACGGTTCCCGGGCCGAGCCTCACGGACGGCTCCCGGCCGCGTTTCCAGCACCAGGGACAGATCCCGAGCGCGCTCCAGCGCCGCGGCGGCTCCCGCAGCGGGCCGGCCCGGCGGGCGCCCCGGGGCGCGGGGACCCCGGCGCGGTGACCTTGCCGCGGCGCCGCTCGGTGCCCCGGCTCGCTGCGCGCCCCTCGCTGGGCAGCATCCGCCGTAACAGCGCGCGGCTCTCCGGGGAAGGACGCTGAGAGATCTTTATTTTTATTTTCCGCCGCTCCGCACGCTCCCACTTCTCCCCAGAGCCAGGAGAGGGCTCCTCGCTGAGCAGAGAGCCTGGCCGCCTCCTGTGGATGGAGATCTGCAAGCCTGGATGGTGCCTGGTTACCGCCGTGCGCTAAAGACTTAGAAAGAGCCCTCGGATCTGTTGCGCTATGGAGGGGTAGCGCTCTCCCCCTTCCTCCATCCCCTCCCCGCCGCCAGACAAACAGCAAACCCAGACCAAACCTTTCTGCCTCCTTGCCACAAACTTTACCTCCTCCTCCCCTCCGGTGAGAATCCCCCCTTTCCTCCTCCCTCCATGTTCCTTCCTTCCGAGCCTGTAGGATGAGGTGTTTCCTTCTATTCGGCTGAGGGTAAAAGCGCATCCTGGGGGCAGTGGCACACACCTGGCAGGGACGGGAAGGTGTCAATCCAGCCTCCACTGCAATCAACAATGGCAAACGAACCCGTGATTCTGAATGTTTATGATATGGTGAGTATGAAACAGTCCTGCGTGGGGGGGTCAGTGGGGCCAGCTGGGAGCTGTGCTTGCTTACAGACATGATAAGAGGAGCAAAGCGCAGATCTCCAGCAAGGGTGATTTCCCCCCCACATTGCTCAAGGATATCTTGTTCTGGTCATCAGAGATAATGCTGGTCCTGGCTCTTGTCTTAGAAACGTTCAGCACGTTGTGCCGGATTACAGGTAAAACTGTGCTGGATTTTCTGCAGGATCTTGCATGAGCAGCACAGGGTGGGGGAAGGACTTTTTAATTTACAGTGCCCCAGTTAGGGAAGGAGATGTGATCACCTCTCTCGCTCTGCAGAAGCCAATTGCCCTTCATTTCTGAGCGAGCAAACACCTCCAGGCTGTGGGGAGGAGGGCTGGGGTAGCACCAGGGAAAGGGTCCGTCTGTGGAAGCACAATAAGAAAGGCTTTCCCAGGCTGGCAATCTCAGTCAGCCCTTTGTATGCATGAAGTTATAGTTAATTGGTGTCTCTGAAGGTTAATTTGAATGACAAAAATAAGAAACTATTGAAACTGGTGAGTTCTTAGCACAGGGAGGAGCAATCTGCTTGGAAGTATTTCTTGAAAGTTCACAGTGTGGCAAGTGACTTGCCTTGCCCTCCTCTCGCTAGGGGAAGTGTGTATAGGAACTATCTGTGCCAAGAAAGCAGAAGATCCAAATGCAATTTTTGGTATGAGTCCCCACAGAGCAGAGGGATTGGGGCAACCTGTTTGCTCTCAGGTCTGGGACAAGCTCAGGAGAGTTGTATTCAGTTTAGGAACATTTTATTGGTGACATATTTCCCCTCCTGATTTTTTTTTTTTTTTAAGCTAAAGGTTTTAAAAATGTTTTTCAAATCTTCCAAAAATCTAGTGAACTTACTGGGGAAAATATGGCTTTTTGAGGGCCCTGAGATTGACTAGGCTATAAATATGTTGTGCCATACCTTTAATATTTATGCCATACCTCTGCTTTTTGTCACCAGGCCATGACAGCTTTCACCAGGAAGCCCACAGAGCAGAGTGGGTTCCCCTTTTGGGCAAATCCTGATAATAGACACCAAGGAGATTAGGAGTGGGTAGTTTTAAATACCAAATCTCCCTTTATTGAAAAGACTAAATGATCTTTTGTTGGCTGAAAAAGCTGAGGTAATATCCGAGAGAAGAGAGTGTAGAGGTTATTCAGGTAGGATTACATCTAGTAATATTGAAGGACTTATTGAAAAACACAACTAGAACCTGAAGCTGCATCTTCTAGAGTCACTGTTGGGAAAATTGAGCAAGTTGGTGTAAATTCCTTTGGTCAACAGTGGTTAATAGGTAATTGCTTTGGCAACCTCAACTGTGGACTTTGCCAAAGTTGTCCTTCAGTCATTAGCCCTTGTAACCCAAGCGGCTGGTGAGATGAAGGGATCTGGACACTGCGATGGACTCAGTCTTGGCCTTTTCTTTTTTCCCAATAACTGACACCAAAGATGAGGCCCAAATGAAGGGATGGCAGAAGGGACTCACTGTTTGTGCTTGCTGCATACAGAAGTGGACACCTGGCCATAGTGAACTGAAGTAAGGTCATCAGTTTAATTCAGACTGTTTATTCTTTTCTGCCTAGGAGGTCATGAAAACCTTCTTGTATCTAACCCCATGCTTTCCTTTCAAGTTAATACTCTTTACATAGAAACCATTCTCTTATATGCTTGTGGTTGTCTACCACTGAGTCACCTCTAGTTTAAGTCCTACGTTATGGTTATTGAGGTTACATACTTTTGCACTGCTGCTGTCATTTTAACACCACGGAGCTTGGAATGCAGCCATGAAAAAATTTGCACTTTGTTATACCGTGGTGGGGAATTGCGGGGGAACTGGGAAAAGAGCACATTTGCTTGAATGACTTCTAGAAAGCTAGTCTCAATGGGGAGGGAAAGAAAAGCAAGGATAAAAATTAGCAAACAAAAAACATTCATAAAAACAATAAAAACAGCTGGGGCTGAAAATTAACTGAGGTTTAAAGCTCTGCTTTCCTGACAAGGAACATGACCCTTGTATGGCATCTGGAAGCACTTACGCTGCAGGAAAGCTTACCCTGAGGGCAGAAGTTCAATTATGGGCTTTGTGCAGCTATGAAATACCCACTCTGTGTATTCTTGTGCATTCAAAGATTATGGTCATTTATCTCTACTCACTGGATATGTAGCAGGCCTCTTCAAGAAAAAAATACTTCTATTTAATGAGGTATTTTGAACAAGTAGCTGAAGTGAATAGATCTATGTAACAGGGTTTTTTTGGTTTTGATTTTTGTTTTTAAAGCATAAACTAAAAAGCCAAAATCACAGGATATTCCAAAAGTGCAGCATGGCATCATTAAAAGCAGTTCCCCTTGCCACCAGCAAGCAGGGTGATTATATTCTGTTTTGTCTGTTGCTAAAGAGCTTGTACACAGCTGTAGACACTTACAAAAAGGAGAAAGAGGGAGAACTTTGCTGCTCAGCCAGATTCCTGAGCTCTGATTTACAATGCGTGAACGCAGAGTAGTAGCATGGATCAGGAGTCTGGACTTGGATGAACATCTTGCCCAATTTGAATCCAATTTCACACGGACTTACTCTAGGTCAGCAGCTGTTTGGAGACCTGCATGAAGTGACTGGATGTAAAAAATTTATGAGAGAGGTTGCTCTGATTAGTTACTACTTTGCCTTTGGAAGGATAAATCAAATTCCCCTTCATAATTACAAGCTCCTCTCTCCCCAAATTCAGACCGTTTATCGTGGACCAGATCTTACTTAGATTATAGAGCTGACTTTTAAAGTCAGAATCTAATCATGATTCCTTCTTGCTTTAATTATTTGTGGCTTGCTTTGGAACAATTAACTAAATCAATGAACATTAATGGATGTCATTGCCTTAAATCACTCATAAGAGTTACTCCAAATATTTCCTAAGTTAAAAACTTTAACAGGCTAGCTAAACATATCCCACCGAAAAAAGTCCATTTGATAGCAATTCATGACACTTTCTGCTTATGGCACAGCACATTTATGCTATGAAATTAAAAGCTGTGATGTTTATCTCATTGCTGTCCTGCTTTTATTATAATTGTCCTGAATTTCCACTGCCTTACAGCTGATAAAGAACAACTTGTCATTTTTATCAGTTGGTATCTTTGCTCACACTTTATTCTGGTGTGATTCCCTGAGTTGCAGAGATGTTGCAGAGGTGAATGAGAACTCTGTTCAGCAAGGAGCAGCAATGTAGGGTCTGTTTGTGGCCAGTAGGTTAGGTCTGCTTCTCAGCTTTGTGCTGCCCTTATTCCATTGATTCCACTGAAATTTGTCATCCTTTCAGAAATGAAGAAGAGGACAATAGGATTCAAGTTACCACAAACACACTAGGATTGATTTTTTTTTTTTTTTTGTGATTGCTACCTTTAGAGAGGTAGCCGAAAATATAATTCATTTTGTTCCAATCTAAATGGCTGATGACAAACGTTGGCCCTGCAGATGAACAACTGGGATCTCTCTTGCCTGACGGATTATGGGATGAGTGTCTTTGTTTTGGTTTGTTCATCACACCGCTGAATGGATTTTCAAAGCGTCCCTGACACAAAGACAATACTCTTGTCTCCATTGCAATGATAAAGGCCCATGTTTGTGGTATTTATTGTGAGCAGTCTGTATTGAAGTAGGGGGAGCAGTTTGATTTGAGAATCTGGAAGTGTACAGTCATGTATATTGTTTCGAAGAGGGAAACAGTTCTGGGGAGGTTGGTGACACTAAATCACTGGAGGGGAAATCTGTGCCTTGTCCTCAACACGATGGTCAGAAGGAAATCAGTGCAGCAGGCAGGTTCCAACACTGTATTCACTGTATTGCTGCTGGTGGCCTGTGCTCCTGAGCAGAGGACCTGCAATACTAAAAAGAGTACCTTTTTTGTGTGTGTGTGTTTCCCTTAAGATTTGTATTTTCATATTTATGGGCCCCAAATTGCAGTGATCTGCCTCAGAGGTTGAAAATGGCACAACTACAGCCCAGTCGCTTGTGCATGAGACATACTCTGGGCTTGCTGTGGCTTGTGTCCCTGCTGCCAGAGAACGAGGCGGGGGAAAGGCAGGCATCTCATGGAGGTGTTAGTCTTGCTGAAAGGAAGAACGTGAAGTGCAGAAGCTGAAGGCTGACCTTGATTGTCCTTTCTGTGTTGGGGATATTGTAATGGCTCAGCGGGGCTGGGTATGTTGTAATGAGTCTCTCCTCCTCCCTGGGAGGGGAGAATTGGTTTCAGCTGCACTAAGAAACCTCGACCATGGCTCTGTGTAGCCAATCAGCTTGTGGACTCCCTGCAGGGCATGATCAGAAGATGATAAGAGCCTGTGGCTCTGGGTGGGAAAAGAGCTTTGAAGAGCTTATTTTATATGCGGTTCTGCAAGCAGCTGCCAGTTCAGAGTTACTTCTAGTGGGAGCTGTGTTCAAGCCAAAGTCAAGGAATGAGAGTTAGTTTGAGGATGTTGTGTCAAGAAGGAGGAATTGCAAGAAGCGGTCCGGCTTTTCTAGCAAGCTCAAAAGCAGGCTGTAACATGGGGATGTGTATGTGGGCCTCTGTAGTAGACCCTATGTTAGGGTACGAGTTGGACTGTATTTATTTGATGTGCTCTGAGGCTTGTGAGAGTCCCTGAGTGGAGAGAGCAGGCCAGTGACCTGCGAGAAAAGGCCTAAAACTAAAGGGTATGTGTGGCTGTAGAGGGCATGCATAATAGCATTAAGCCAGTTCTTCTGATGCAGAATAATGTTATGGAAGTATGAGTTGTTATTTTTCCCGCTTTTGATCTTTCCTGCCCTGTAGCTTTCAGCATTTTGTTTTAATGTGTGTTATTTGCATCCCCTTTGGAGGTGGTAGCCTATATGTCTCATGGGAAACCAACCCAGACCTGAGATTTTAGCATGCTTCATTTGCTTCCTATACAAGTGAGATAGCGAAGATGAGACTTGGGGCCCCTGT